TATATATATATATATAAACAAGCTCTTTCTCTAACCACTGAGTGTTGGCTTTAATTTAGATGCAAGGAAACATGTCTGAGTATCTGACACAGAAAGTAAATTACACAGTTTATTTCTCCACATAGCACGTTTCCATTTGTGTTGATTACTGAACACTTACAGTGGCATAATGTATCAAAATCTTGCTTGAAAAGCCTGAAGAGGAAGACACCACCTGGAAGACGTAGGCATACATGGGAGGATAATATTAAAATGGACTCAGGGAAATAGGCTGAGTATGGATTGGATTCATGTGGCTCAGGAAAGGGATCAATGGTGGGAGATTATATTTTGTGTTTAATAATCACACGCATATTTGCATTTTTTTAAGGATGAATAGTATTCAATTACCTGTATATGCTGGAGCCATGGACTGATACATAACTGGGTACATGGCTGTAACTGCAGGTGCTGAGACTGTAGATGATGATGATGATGATGATGATTGTTGGTGAGTCTCAAACTTGCTGGTATTCATATTCAACTGCTGCATCAACTGTTGATGGTGGAATGCGTCAATCTCATCTTGGTGCTTTTGCTTCAATGCTTCCCTTTCTAGATGCTGCCTGAATATGCCAACAAAATTGGTTTTATTCATAATAGGCAAAATGATTATGCATTATATTGGTGTAAGTCAGTGTCAAGGTCCAAGTGATGCAATACTTTAAAAATTCACGCAAAAACCATTACAAATGTTGACAGCTTTACTGCTGTGAGAATCTCAGGTAACTGGAGGATATATTAAAATTGATCTTCATGTAACTCACTGCAGAATGGACTAAAATAATTATAATTTGTTACTGATTATGACAAAACATCAGGTTGACTATACTGGAGAATCATCATCAATAGGCTTCTGTTAGGGCTTGAGAACCAATATCACATTAACATATCTACAAATGGTCAATCACAGTGGCTGCATGGACTGTTCTTTGGTGCTCAGTAAGAAGGGCCTAAGTTGGTATAATTATGTTTGAGTTAAGACCTTCTTATCAAGCACCAAATATTTTTGTCTATATTTTGCTGTCACCCTATATAGGTAGAGACTTTACATTATGCCAGTCCCTTATTCAGGGAGGCCTAATCAATGTCAAACACATCAAATAAAATGAAAACCAGATGCTGTTAACAGCAGTAGAAAATGACTGACTTAGAAAAATCCAATAGCTCCCTTGAGGTTTGTGACAATGCCAGATTCATTACATTACAATTATGTATAACACATTATTGTCTAAGTTATATTTGATATGAATGACATTTCAAACATTGGATCTACCCCTATCTTCAGGCGAGTGCTTGTCATTATACAGTTCAAATCATTTTTATTTTATTTTTCAGATTAGTGACAATGGTTGGAATCAAACCCAAAATTCCCAAAGTACTAATCATAAATGCTGGGGTGGCTTGTCAATATAATGATAACCATTTGCCTGAAAACTGGTGAAAAGCCAACTCCTCAAATGTTTTACATTCCAAATACCCATAAATAATGGACAATATACATTATAACTGTGTAAGAACCCATATTAATGACCACCAGCTTGCATTATGTTAGCCCTAATTCAACACATGTAAAACACAGTGAAATTAATTTACCTTTTGAGAAGTAGTCTAAATCCATCAGTATTCATCCATGACTGTGCAATAAATTCCTCTTCAGACTCAGAATCCTGTAACAGTGGAAATAACTTACTCTAAATAACAGAACACATTCCAATGCCTTTACCACGTAATGACCCTGCCCAATGTCTGAGTTATAAGTATTGAATGTTTGGGGGGGGGGGGGGGGGGGAAACAAACCATTAGTACTCATATTATTGGTAGGTGGTCATGCATGGACAATGCGTTGAAAGACAGAGACTTTATAGTTGCAGAAATCATTACAATAAACTTTCTGAAAACCAACATCATAAAACTCATATACAGCAATCTGATTATATGCATATAATAATCACCAAATATTCCAGCACACAGAGGCCACAATATGAAACACATATCTGGTAAACAATGGGCAAATTCAGTATGAAATTTCTACAGCTTCTGTATGAATAATATATAAGTGACACACAGAAAACCTGATGCAATAACAATCACAACATGTAAAATATTTCTCACAGCAGGAGATACCAGACCAATGAGATGAAATCAAGTTAGCTGAGGTAGCCATATTTTAGACTACTTGTGCAAAAATTTACTCCAAATTTAATTCCAATCATTTATACACTGTACTTTCCAGAGTATATTAAAAAAATCTTAAATAATAAAGTGCACAAAGTATGGGTCACTGCAGTATGCTTATATTGTAAGGACTTTTACCTTTACTTCAAAATGTAAAGGAGGGTATTTAAAAATGTCCTGATGTTCAAGAAACATATTCAGAAGCAGAGATTATGCAACTATCTAACTGCCATTTCCAACTTATAGACTAAAGCATTATATAAATGCAACATGATAATGGGAAATAAACATAAATTTAATATGCCCGTGAAGATGATGGTTAGAAGACAGCAATCTTTGTACTCACCGCTGTGAGAACCTCAAAGCCTACAAGTTCTTTCAGTGATCACGCAATATTATGATCAGGATCAGGGGTGAAGCGTTCACATAATTGTGTTGGGATGGCTAAGACCATAAAAAATTAAAAATTAAGCTTCATGTTTCTGGTTCAGTGATACTCCATACACCGAAACACAGCAGAACTTTTAAGATAAAATGCATGGTTACAAAGCTGCAGCCAGCCAGGTGTTGTTGGCCAGCTAGCTGGGGTTATGTTCACCATCTGTTTGGTCGGCACAATTAGAGAAGACATGATATGGCAGAAGTCTGAGGGGAGGAGGGACACTGCATGACATTCATGTTAGCCAGTGTTGGAACATTAACAATTGCTTGTGTGCTGGAGTTTGATGTAGAGTGCTGCATCATATTTCCCACAATTTTAATTTTGCAACTTTTGTTGTAAACGTGTGCCATGTGATTTGTGCATCACGAAAGATAAGTATGATGTATATACTAAAGTACCAAAATTTTCACAAACACCCTCCCACCTCCTGCTTGGATCTGGTTAACACTTTTTAAAAAATCATACTCCACCACTCATCAGGATATATTTACACAGAAACTTCCAAAAATAGTTTTCTCTGTATATCTCCTGCTACCAGAATGACTGGACTTGTATCCATTAAGACAAATATTTTGTGAAAGAAGTTTTCATGGCACCTTGTAAAATAAAATATCAAAAATCAGAGTTACATGGTTCATGGATCTGAATGCTGTAAAACACTTAATTAATTAGTACATTACTTAGCATTATGAAAACTTATTATCTTCCCAAATTCCATTCTAAAAAATTACACATCATTAAGCCAGTATATACAATTCTGCAGCTACAAACTTACATCTAATTTTATAATATATAGCAATATTTACAAAGCAACTTATATATGAAACATTTTATAATGGAAGGGAAAAACCCATAATCACATAGATACTACTAAAGTTTGTGTGATACTTTACCACTGCCATGTATAAATCTGACATTGTGCCAATTCAAAGCAATTGTTGCTAAATATCCTGATAACACAAAAAATGCTGGAACATGTTCTGCAAGCATCTCTATTATGGTAACCAAGCAGTGTTTCTAAATAATGGTTGAAGTTGACAAAACAATTTACATTCCATTAGACTGAAGTAAAGGCACCACAATGTTCAGGTGGGTGGAAACCCCATTTACAGTTTCTGCAGATGATAAATATTAATAAATGACATGGCATGAAAATATTTAAATGAGGAAAATGCAAAATTATTGAATTATAATCATATTTCACTATTGTAGCATAGCTTATGCAAACAATTAATTATTCCCCTCTCAAATTGCTTGCATTCTGCATGAGAGACCAAGAGCCACATAGAGAAATGTGAAACGAAGCAGTGGATCATATTTACAGCAGGCAAGGATACTGAAACAGCACAGGAAAACTGTCAGATTTCACAATGTGATAGAGCAATTGATCTGGGATATACAAAATGACATAATCTAAAGCTGCATGCTAGAACTGTATAAAGCCACCATCCATAACGCAAAGATTTATATTTTGACAGTAATAACATGCATATTAAACTCAAACAAGAATCACATCATTTTATTCTATGCTTTGTCATTTTCCTTTGTTCTGCATAAACAAGTATGATGTGGTTTTTCAAACTGGACAGGATATGCAAAGTATAAGAACATGGGATGAAAAGGAAAAACAATGCAATTTTAAAGTAAAGCTTTGTTACCTGTCAAGTGTTGCCATATGTAATTGAAACAGAAAAAGAGGGCACTGGGGGGACTTATCATACCTTCTGTTTATGGGATAATAAAATGCAATGATGGCTGTTTAACCAGTGGTATCAATTGCACATGAAAGAAAGTGGAGTCAAAACAGAACACTTCCTCCTAGTTACATACACATGGACACATGTACACACACATTCATTCTCTACGTAATCTCTGCCCACTCATTAATCCATCTCCACTGGACAGTAAAATTAAATTATCCAACAAATAGCAATGCCACTTTCATTCTAGAAAAAAAGAGTACATATATTCTGATACATTTTTCATCATCATTATGCAAGGAAACTCACATTTCTGAACACATGATATGTTGATGCAACTGCATGAAGCTATTTCCTAGCCATCATAAACAGAAAAAGCGCAAGCTCCCATAACCCAGCATGCTCCAAAACCGGACACCACTCCCTTTCCATTTCCAGATATTACTTTTCCAATTGATGAAGTTCTTACCATCACAGTCTGTTGACCCAAGTCTCTTTCTCTACCCCTGTGGCTTGAAACATATTGTGTTGGAAGTTTATTTCTCCTTCTGCCATCAAAATTTGGATTGCTGCAGTTCTCAAATCTGCCACCAGATGGTATTACTTGATCTTCACCACTGTAAGGCAACTGAGAAAGAACTTCACACTTCTGACTTGCATCTTCTGACCTTTTTTGAGTTTGCCCTGCAGCAGAAGTTCCTAATTCCAGAGATTTCTTATGCTGTGTCTGTAACTCTTCTTGTGATCTATGAAACTGGAGTAGAGGCTTGGTGCTTGCCGTTGGAGACCGACACAAACATTCGGCTTTCAATGCCTGCTCTGTTGTCCTTCCAAGAACAGGATTAGTTCGCAAATTCCCCTCATCATCAACATAATCCTCAGTATCCCTGTAAAATCTATAATTAATATTCTCCTGGTCTTGGGGTGATGTTGATGGAATTACATGAGAGTAGAACATATCATCATCTTGAGATTCCTCATCTTCAAAGTAAGATCGGCTGTCCAAATATTCCATATCATCTGAGTTCGCTTCTGATGAGTTGCCAACATCTTCCAGTTCCTTATTGATGGAATAATGCAGCTTATGTTCCCATTCCATTAAATATTTTGGTGGTCTCATGCCAGCATGAACTGTATGATACACTGGTTCCAAGTCCCTAAGCAAATCCTCTGAATGTGACAGGTGAGTTCTTAAGCCATTTCTATTTTGGTGGATCGAGAAAGCATCATTAGGGTGAAGAGATGTACGTGACATACTAGGACTAGAGTTCATGGAGGAACTTGAACTGACACGCACTGGCTGGTTTCTGTTAAATAGCGGAAGGTTGCTCATACTCTTTGCTTGTTTCAGTTTTGCTCTGATCAGATCTCTTGGCTCTTGACTCAGTGACAGGTAGCATGGTTTTGTAGTTTTCTTGACAGGAGGATCATTGTCATTATCAGTGACATTACTAAAGCATTCATAATTTTTTTTATTACTGTGGGACTGAGGATAATTGGGCTTTGCATTACAGGATTCTTGGCTCAATGACAGGTGTGATGGTTTAATGAGTTTTCTAAATGGATTATTCACATCCTTTACAATATCTGTAGTACTGTGCCATGCATTTAATACAGAACCAGTGTTATGATGGTAATGGATGTCTGGAGAGGTACCAGGTAGATGCTGTGATGGAAACTTGTTTTGTAATGCTGATGTTTCAATGCTGGTACAACGGCGATACTGTGGATTTTCTGAAGGAAATGGATGGTCTGTAGTCAAGTCACCTGTTGAGGCATGTTTATTTGATATCTGAGATGAAGATAATTTCTGGGCAAAAACTGAAGTTGAGGGATCTGGATACTTTATATCAAAGGGTTTAGATGTATATGGAGGAACAGGTAGCTTCCTGCGTTGCTGTAGTGGTTTCAATTCATGAATGCTACTTTTCGCAAACTGTTTTGAAGCTTCACTGATGTTCCCAGAAACAATTCCACATTTATCAACTTTCTCAAGGTTAGAAAAACTGGACCACTTCTGTATGGGTTGATAAGTTTTCTTAGGCTTCACCGTTGTCCCTTTCCCTTCATCTAGTGTTGAAATTTTACTTGTACTTATGGTTCGAAACCTTCTATTGTCTTGAGAATTCCTGTATGTTGGTGCAAGATGAAACTGTCTAAAGTCTGCAACACTGTTGGCATGTACAAGGTTTGTCTTTGAAAATTCAGTGCAGATAGGATTTGATTCACCATGTTCTGACAGCTCTTTTAAGTTCTTAACATCACATGGCTCTGATATTTTCTGATTATTGGAGCCTAGACTTTGAACTAGGTAAGACTCACTGAAGTGGTCATGAAATTTTGAACCAGGTTTTAAGTGATTTCCAAAATCACTTCTACCTTCTTCAATACTTCTCAGTGAATTATCACGATCAAAGTAAGGTACATTACTACTGTACTTCCTGTAACGATGACTAGTATTCACTCCCTGGGACACGGAAGCAATATTAACACTTCCAGCTCGTTTCAAAGGCAATTTTGATGGTGATACTGTCTGGGTTGGAAAATACTGTTGCTGAGCAGGGTGATTATTCTGTCTCACCATGGACTGTTGCCTTGACTTTTGAATTGGAATATTAATTTTTTTTTTGATCTGATTAGGAAATCCTGCAATGAGATTTGCATTACCTTGTTTGTAACCAACCACTGATTCTTGCTGATATAGTTTATGTGACTGCGTACTACAAGAGGAATTGTATTTATCTGTGATCCTCTCACAGTTTTCAATGTTGTGATGTCCTGTTTGTGTATGAATTGTATTCAAAGAGAATCTTGGCAATTCAACTGGGTTCTGATTTATTACGAGGTTTGGATAATGAATATCTCGTGTTCTAATTGTCCCTTCGTTATCTGATTTAATGGAAACATTTAGTGGTAGTGCTGCTACTGAGCAGAAACCAGAAACATTCTGGTACTGTAATCGATGGTTATTATTATTTTGAACTGTGTGCATCACTGGAAGTGTATGTATTTCACTCTGGTAAACAGGGATGTTAGAAGTACTGGGCTGATGAGAAATACTCGCAACTTGGGTAACATTGTGTTGTGTGGTACTTTGGATGTTAATATTGGTAGGTTGTGTTGTTAATGGTACAGCTGCCACTGAATGAAGCATTTGCTGTTGAACATCAATTCTGCTTTCCTGGTTTCCATTGTCATTCTCAGACTGGTTACTCTGGATGGTATTATGATATGGTGGTTGAGACATCAAGTTACCAGGATCACTTACACTGACTCCACTTTCCAGTCCACAACATGGTACAAGTGGCTTCCATTGGCTGTCCACAGCAGGTGTCAATGGCAACTGCCGTTTCCGTGACACAGGTGGTGTACGAAGTCGAAATGCTGCCTGTGGTTCAATGTGGCCACACGATACTGATTCAGTATTCATATCAACAGCAGATTTTGGAACTGTTATAAGTTGCTTTGCAGTGGCATTTGTAGCAACCTATTTTTTCCCAGCCCCAAGAATTGAGGTACAAAAAGAGGCCGGAAAGAAACAAACAAAAAAACTACAATAAATAATAATTTCGAGAAACGATGGTTAAGAAAATGAAAATACAAAAGAAACAAGAGAGATCTGTAAAATATGACAAAAAATTTATGAAAATCCACTAATAAAAAGCTAATAAAGTTGTTAAACACTCACTTCTCCTGAGCACAATAAATGAATCACAGTTACTCTCATTATAAAATTAGAAATTTCAAATATCTTGGCGACTTTGCTATTTGCTGTGTTCTATAGGCATAACTAATGTGTAATATATAAAGTAACTGCTTCACTTACACATAGTATTGTAATCCATATCCATACACTAGTTCCAATGCAGTCTTTTTTCTACAACTTTGACAATAATCTCAAATATAACTGTGAAGGGGAACTTCATCTGCCTCAAGGTTCACTTTAATTAACATGAATGAAAATGAGTTGATAACTTATATATGGCCTCTATTAAAGGATGAATGTTTATAAAAAAAATTTAACTTAAAATTAATACACAAACATACTATATCTGTTTCAGTGATACGACTTCCACACGTCATGAATTCAATAAACAGGTATGTTCAAATTGTCGATATTTTCCAGCAATTAATAAAAGCTTACAAGAACTACACACTTATGATACTATATTATCAGCAGATCTAATCTGGTATATCACTTGCAATGATTCAGCATTTTCTTTACTTGTCAGCATACAATGTCTTAAAATATATCCTGACAGTCAGTTTATATCAACTTTCATTATGAAGCTGTCATACAGTGATAACAAATGTGAAATATATTTATATAATGTTTAGGTAGGGAATTAGTATGTGTGACTTTAGTTGAAGCACAAGGTGTTAGAACTTAACTTCTGTTTAGATGCAATAAGCAAAGTCATCAATAATTTTTTAAAGGATTGTACCTAAAAAGGAGTAAAGGCAGATTTCTTTACTTCCTCTGTTATATAATTGTTACTTTTACTACAACCACTACTACTATTACAACAATAAAAAAACACTGAATTAATTATGGTAAATAATAATAACTTTAACAATAAGAACAAATATGACATCAATAGCATAGCATCACAAGAAAGCTTGGCAGTGTAAAAAACCACTTAATCATACAGCTAGAGATTCAAAAGACTAAGATGGGGAACAATTTTGTATTATGAAACTAATCCATGACATGTGTTTAAAGATAAGGACATGGTTAACAAGCCAGAAAAGTGTATACCATACCAGATTCCACCATTTTATTTCTACTTCTATTTCGTAGAATATTCAAAAAGTATGATTCCAAGATCTTGCCAAATGGCACAACCTCCATAACAAATTTCATCCCAATCCATTTACTGGTTCTTGAGTAGAAATGACTGGACAGACAGAGAGACAAATGGTCAGCCATAATGTGTTCTCCCCACACACTTCAAGCAAAGAATGCATAAAAACTAAGCATTTGTGTCATTTTCAAGTAAAGTACCCTATTTGATAATAAAATTATGAACACGACAAAGATACTTCACAATCGTAAATACATTTCTGAGTGAACACTTCTTGTTATTCTAAACTGAGATACTGAAAGTGTTTTAAATACAAACAGTGGGTAAACTTAAAATATTGGACTCCATTTAGTGTGACAATATATTAAAGGCCACAATCTCACATTTCCAATTAAATGTTACAGGAAGTAATGATAGTTGAAGAAAGTGTCACTGAAGGATGAATTTAAGTAATATGTGTATTAGAAGAAAAAATTAAAAGAAATTATAGCAAAACTGTAAATACGTGTTTTAAAATTAGATTTCATTAAATACACCCTTAAAACCGGCAAACCATCAATAATGCCTACAAAGAAATAAACCCTGCCCAAATGAGACACAGTAAGACTACTTAGGGAGAGGTTCACAGAATAAGCATGTAAATATAAATTAAGTATGGAGAAGAAGACTGTCATCTAGTAACTAACACACAGAGACAAAACTTTAATGATTCAGAAAATCTTAAAAGTTGTAAACTTTATAACTGTCATGATTAAACAATAAATACATTACAAAATATGAACTTTTTAAAAGTAATGTACATTTAGCTTCATACAAACATAATTCTATTATTGTATGCAGTCACTACTGTCAATTATTAAAATATTAAATTTTAAACACATTAGTTGTCTTGGCAATATCAGCTCTATTCATTCAACAGCTCTGTGTTAACTATTTTGATACTGTCAACTAATAACTTACTTCCAAAATGAAAGAAATGTATCTATGACACAGATCAAACAAATTTGTTACTATTTATATTAGAATGTACATGACAATGAATGATTAATGGTAAATTAAATTAAAATATAATTTTTGATAGTCCTAATAAAAACAAATATGGCATAACATAGGTGGAACGAGAGAAAAAAGGAATACTATGTGACAAAGTACCAAACAGACTTTATTTCACGATTGTAAGGAGCAAAACAGAGTGCAGAAATAAATTTATGCATCAGCAACCTGATATTTGTACTTTAAAACAATGTAAAAGCTTCCCAGAAAAGTATATCCTAATTTCACAAATACAAGCTCTTTTAAACATTGCTTTCAGTTTTAATTTTCACCTGAAGAACTCCTGGGAACTGTGAATAAGATGTAATCAGAAAGAAATCTTCACCAAGCAATTCTACTATAACCCTTATTCTGAGAGTTTGGGAATTTTAATTGAACACAATGAGATTTTGATGATTTTTATTTTTCTGGATGAGTATCCTGAGTTGCAAGATAGCACACTGAAATGCTTCTTGTCTCTGACAGACTTCCTTTTGTTGTTCACTTGAGTCTATAAATGCGCCAATCACACAATAAGGGAAACATTGAAATTAAATTATGACAGTACAACTCGTGTACAACTCTCACAAGAAACTCAAATAAGGCAATATGGTGGGGCCTACCAAAATTTGCAGCTGGGGGAGTCTGGTGGTTGGTTTTGTGTTTTTACATTTGGCAGGAATCTGGCTTCAGTCACTGTTAAGATGTTTTCATTAAATCATTAAATTTACTTTATAAAGACAGTTTATAAATGTTGTACTTTCAATGCAATAATGCTGCAATAAACTGTATTGCAGTTCAACACAAAAGGCTCATTACTGTCAACTTTTATTGGTCACACTATGCTAGTTATTACATAAAAAAATTAATAATGGCATTAAGCCCATACTAAATTAATATAAAAACAATCAGCAAGAAATATTTAGCAATACTGATAAAGGATACTTACAACATTCTTGGCACCTGCTGAAGTAAACTTGCAACTAGAACCACTGGACGAAGTAACAAGTCCCGTTCCCGAGGAAACTAATGGTATTGGTTTTGCTTTGTGAAGTATTTGAAGAGTGTAGTCACTCTCTGTTAACAGCTGGGAATCTGGTGCTGTAAACACCATCATTAACCCATTAATACAAAACAAAAATTCTTTCATCATAGGCATACAGTAGTTCTCAGTTAGACACTAAAAATGTAAACTAACCATCTAAGCTGTAACCTATAGTGCTACTTCTTTCGTCTCTCAATATCACAATTGTAAACTAGTATATACTGAAAGTTACAGTGTGCTACTTTTCAGTCTAATATTGTACTGAATACGGTCTGTGTTACTGATGCTTTGGCATAATTACTTGACACATAAACCTTCAAGATGCATCATCATAGTCACTACACATGACATACGGCTGTGATGCAAGTAATTTGTGGTATCAAATTCACTAACTACTTAATATTATGGTTAATACTATAAAAATGATAGTTCATGATGCAGCGTCACTAACTGAGAGTAACTCAAAGGCATTTAACATAAATCCATTCATAACATTATATATCAAAAGAATCATTTAAGTACTGAAAAATTATCTATGAAAAATGAGTCATATGTAATGGATGAAATACAGGATCCCTATAAAATTCGTATGAATTTATATAATATAAATATAATTTATAAACAATATATATTTATTTATATATATACTACTTATGTAAATTATAACCTATGTTTCAGTTATTTTCAAATAAATTCAGAGACTACAGTCAGACTGCATTTCACAAGACAGAAACTCGATGCAGGTTGGAACTACACTCACCATTATCAAATACTGGTGGTGATGCAAGAGTCCTGTTATCAGGTAGTGGTGGAATTGTGGAAAACCTATTACCAAGTGCTGACAGTGTTGTTGGAATCTGATCCTCAGATACTTGTGATGTTGGAATTTGTGGCATCACAGGAGTTATATCATCTGTGTGGGTAACCACACTAAATCTACCTCGCTTTACAGCTGTTGTGGTTATTGGCTTATTACTTGTGTCTGAACTCCAAGAAGCTTGAGATGAAACTGAAGAAACGAAAAATGAATCAACTTATACCCAACCCTCCTTCCTGAAATTTCTGATGCTGAGTCTATTATCACTGCTTCTCCTCCATGCCCACAATGAAAATTTTATCATAAATAATCAAAATGTCCTCTGAGCTTCTGGACATTTGCACACTCTATTTGATTTTCAACACTAATACAGTGACAATATTATCATCAGACTTTTTATTGTTCTGATCGGAGGTCTTAAACAAAATAAATAAAATTTACAACACAAAACATATGGAAATTATATATTGTAAAGAAAATCACAAAACACTGGTACTACGTACATGAATGAAGCCAGGATGCATAATAAATCTCACCTGCCACAGACATATCCTCTTGTACAATGCTCACTTGAAATCTGGATATTCTTTTTACAGTTAAATTGTCATCTGTCTTCTTTTGTTCATGCTTTGCCTTGTGCTCCTGCTGTTTATTTTCATCAAATGACTTCTCCTCTTGTGGTTCTCTCCTTGCAGGGCCTTTGTTTTTATGTACAAGATTTGTATCTGATGTCATAGTTTGGCATTCTGTCATAAACAGATCTGCAGTTTGGGTTTCACTCTCAACCATTGCTGTATCAGAAACAACACGCTCTTGGGAATCCTCTGAAATTTCCTTGTTATAACGCAAACCCCTGGTTTGGGTCTCCAAAGCCTCAGAGTGATTCACCACTATGACAGCTTCATCTGGTGTAGTGTTAACACTGATGTCAGTAACTAGTGGCATGTTTGGATTCAGTACAGTAGGAGGGAATACCGGAGTATTTGCTGGCTGAACAGGAGTTGGTACTGCCAAGGGTACAGTAGTCAGCAGTTGAGCCATGGGCTGTGGTATTACCTGCACAGAACCCACAATTTTAATTTAAATATTGCAAGACTCCAATTTAATATTTTTAGAGGACAATGTGAACCAGGTTTGCCTTGGGCTGATCTTATGTCTGTTTATGGTCCAGACACCATTTTATGACCACAATATATCACACAAAATTTTCTGCATACCTGATAAAGTATGCAGCTATAAAAGTAAATATGATTGGTCAATTTAATTTGGATACTATAGTGAGATATTTGCAAGCAACAACATTTTTCACTTAGCCTCTCGTGTACAACTTATAGTCTTTTCAAAGTGTTTTTCTCAACCTTTGCCTAAAGCCAGAGATAAATCCAGGATACCTGGTTCCTGCCTGAGTTTTTAATTAGATAATTCCTCAATACAAGTCAGATATGTTAATGTTTAACATTATGTGCTAGATATATGCATTTCAGATACGCAAAAACTGAATATAAATCAAAAACACATGCAAAGGAAATTCATTTTATGTAACTAAACCACAATCTCACTGCAATATTTAATAAATTCATTATCACATATTTATGTATGAAACAGTAGTAACCCATACATTTTAAATTGGAAGAACCCAATGTTTCTTTGATTGAACATCCTTAAACCCCTATATTACCTGCGCTGCAGGACTAATGCCCAGCTGTATAATGCTTGGTGCCTGACTTAAAGCAACATGACGGTGGCTAGTATGTATCTTTGCCAACTCCTGAAATAGAAATGTATCACATATTTATACTGTTCAAAAGATATAATAAGAAACAAAATTAGTAACACAATATTCAAATTCAACATGTACAATAAAAAAGTAAAAAGAGGGTCAGATATGCTAAAGAATTATCACCTGTTCAAGATCGTGCAGGTCAATTGCCGCTGGTCGTGGCCTCAGTTGACGCTGAATATCTTCCTTTGATGCTATCTGACTAGGTGACATGACTCCACTACTACTATTACTGCTATCCACAAGAGGCGTTATTGACATCTGAAAGTCCAATATGTGCTAAATAACAACACAAGTTTAATGGTATCATATCATAAAATGACATACAGTAATAAAAACTATATCTACAGTTCAATCACAATTTAACTGATTAATTATGACAACACAACATAAAATGTATATTAGGAAATAAAGATGAAGTGATATGGACTGGAGAGGTCTAGTTTGATAAAAAGAGAAAGAAAGTATTACACTCGCCAAATTATTTTACCTTGTATCAAATATAATAAAGAATCCTACCTGTTGAACTGGAGCTAATACAGCCAAAGGCTGAACAATGACTGGCTGATCAGTTGGTAAAACTGCTAAGCCCTCAATGCCCATTACACCTGTCTGCATCATTGGCTGAGATATAATATCAACAGCTGTAGGAATCACAGAACTACTAGCTACAGCTGCATGTAACGTGCTCTGTGGTGACAATGGGCCCTGCAGTAAAATGAAACATCATACTCTCTGAAAATAATATTTTAAACGTATCACTTAAAGAGTAAAAGTAAAGCCATCCTGTTACATGCCAATGTTGGCACTTAGAGGAGAGGATTATACATCCTCTCCTCTAAGTGCCAACATACTCATTCATACTCATTCTCAACCTTGGCACTAAAAGGGGGTAAGTGGTAAGTGGCACACCCTGGCCACACTTTATTCCTGGGAAAGGATCCCAGTAACCATCAGACAGGATGCTGGGTGGGCCCCAGAGCTGGTCTGGACAAAGAGGCTAGAGGAACATCCTCTGCCACCCCCAGCCCATAGCCAGTCACTATACAAACTGAGCTACCCGACTCATATCACTTGAACAGACACTACTGAAACATCACCCAAGAAGGAACCAAGTATGAAAAAATACAACTTGAATGCACACAAGAATGCCAAAATAATTTCTTACATTTAATAAAACGTTTACGTTGCTATTTGAAATTTTAAAAAAAGAATGCCTTCCTCACAGGCATTTACAATGAATGGATGAGAGGAAATGTATCTCCATTCTTAACCTCTGCATTAAACATATGTAAACTGTTAGCTTCACTTCTGATTTTCAGGAAAAAGGTAACAAAATAAAGTTTCTGTTTAAAAAAGGGCTTTTCATTCTGAAAATTATGTACAAATACAAAAAATTATGCAACACTGTAACAATTACAACTAAACAACTTGCTGGGTTCTTTGTCTAAACTATAGATTTATTAATTTCACAATGCTTACAAATAAATATATTCTTGCTTGCAGTTCTTTACAGTTATGTCGTAAGTCCTGTTCATTGTATCTTCTGTCTAGTTTCTGCACTGGTATTAAGTATGCTCTTCTTGCAGTATCAAAGTCTAACCACTGCTTCTTTGCCCCATTGCTCTACTCAGTTAATAATCAACTCATGTTGTCCACAGCTAGGTTGCAACTTGTCTGTCAACTCAACACCTTAAGGACTGTGTTCAAACACTGAATAATTTACTGCTATGGCAACATTTCTCAGTGAGTCTGTTCACCCTGGGGTTACTTGAAAAACCAAGTATTTCAAACATGTCTGGCAGACTTAAATAATCTCAAAACAGAGAATATTTGAATAAATTTATGCCATATCATTAGCCATTCTTTTAGTAACCACAGCTGGCAAAATGCACTCAATTCTTAACACTACAAAATACTCAGAAATTAATGTTCTATAATGAAGAGATTATTCCAACTTTGGAACACTAGGCAACATTTTGTTATACAGCCCCGAGAACGGACATATTTATCTCCCAAGTTACAAAAACTAAGTATAATAAGTTTCAAGTTTACTCACCAGGCTGTGGCCACTAGGCATTGATATGGATGCTAGTTTCTGTTGTAATGTCTGCATGTAGCTGTCATAGGTATGCTGAACTTGAGGAGTAGCAGGGTGGGATGGGGGGGTTGCAGTCAATACACGTTCTGATGATGGCTGTGATGTAAGCTGCAGCAGCTTCTGCTGTAAATCTGCTATTGTTTGTGGGCCACTGAAATAATACATATGCACATCCTTCAAGACTTGTTTTCCACCATTCTATTTCTTATGTTAAAAAATCAACATTAGTTTTTATCTCACAACAAATACCACAGAACACAAGTTTTGTTATTAAATGTTACAGCTTATAATGTGGCAGCACAAAAAGCTAAACTTAATTTTGTATTTCAACACAAAATATTTCCAAGAAATGAAAAGTGAAATTTTGTCACTGTTCCTGTTTGTTTATACTCAGACAACTGTATCCTTTATATGGTGCAAAGGGTGTGACTTTACTTCATTCGCAATATGTCATGATTATAATTGTTTCCACCAGTCCTTGTATGATAATGATAACAGCAAAATACCACCCCCCCCCCCCCACCCCCACCAGGAACTACCAGAAGCAGTGTAATATATCAGAACTTGTACTCTGTCCGAAGATGGTTGTCTTCTAGGTTGTAGCACCATTTAGTCTGGTAGAATTTTACCAACATTTCAGAGGTCTTAGCTGTTTCCATCATCAGCAAGATGATCACCCTCTCAAATGTTGATAAACATCTACCAGAAGACAGCCATCCTTGGACTCAACGCTGTGAAAATCTAAAATCCTACTTATACTCCATCCACTTGCAACAGACAGAATTATTTATTATATTACTGCTATCAATTCCACAGCCACCACCACCAGTATCACTACTACAAGGTCAGTTCAAATCTGACCCAAAATTTTAGTTTTTCTCAAAGTCTCCTCTGGTTGCAGACACAACCTAAAAATTATATCTGGAAAGAATGGTACAAATATGTACACGTAGAGGGAAAACATACTAAAAATCAACATGAAAGACAACTAATTGATATGCTATGATCAAAATTTTGAAACACATTTAAATCACTGAGTTGCTGCTGCTGCACTTGTTATAACCACCCCCACCATTACCTGTCTTTCTCCAGAGAATTCTGCTGTGACAATCTAGGATGCATTGACAATGCTTGCTGATCAACTGCAGGCATGATGGTATTCTCAGGGGTGTACTGCTGAGTTGGTGTCTGGCTGGCTCCAGGCATAGCTTGTGATGTGGATAATTGACTAGCCAGTGGAAAAGTGGTCTGCAAATTAGTTTGTTGCTGCTGCTGCTGAGGCTCTGCAGGTGAATGGCATGATGGAATGACTTCTGATGCATATTTATAGACTTCAGCTGTGTTCATAGCTTCATCAAATTCTGTTGATCTCTCAGATATAAAACTTGTTTTCCGGCTAGGGCCTTCACTTCCAGAGAGGTCGGACAATTGCGTGTCTTGTATTACTTGAGTTAAAGTCATTTTCTTTACACCCTGTTCTAGTTGTGTTCCATCCATTACCAGAACTGTGCCAAACTGTCCCTGAGTTTGTGATAAGTGAGATGGAGTTCCTTCAATAAGTTGACCATTTGAAGCCATGATATGGTCCTGTGTGGAAGGTTCAGGCATGGTGTGCATAAATGTATCAATCTCAAGCAACCCCAATTGAACATCTGGGTCATTTATGCTTGAACGTTTAGATGAATATACATCTGTAGAGGAACTCATGGATATTTCGGATTGTGTGCCTGGCATTTCAGTGTGCTGAGACTGAGATTCTGAAGAATTCAGGTCATAATTAACATCCACTGAGAATGTAGGAATGGTATCTGTAGAAGCAGATGACTGTTTCCTAACATCTTCATTGCTTAGATTCTCCCTTCCAACTGCAACTTTCTTTCCTATATTGCTGACATTTCCTTCTGTATCACTATAAATTATGGAATGGGTTTCTGTCTCTCCCAAAACTGTCCTGTCATTAGATAAGCATTTCACTTCAACCTGGTCCGCACTTTGTTTTGACAGATCGAGAGATGGTAAACGAAGAAGGGTGACAGATGGATCTGCAATCGCTGAGGAGCACACTGGAGTTGACATGGAGCCAACAAGACTAGATGAAGATGCACTTTCATCAACAGTGCTCACCATAAAGCGAGATATTAGGCGCTGCTGCAACACAAAATATATTTGCATAATTCAACATCATACTCACAATATAAGATATAACAGCTCAGAAAAGATAAGATAAAACTATGAATTTGATGTAGATAGAAGCAAGTACAGAAATGGGTAGAAAAATTTAACATAAATGAAGAAAACTTTTAAACTATATTTCTACTAAGAAATTATAACAAAATAAGCCACTTGTTTACACATGTACTCAAATTTTAATTTTAAATTAATTACAAATCAAATCTTTGGATTTTTTTTGTAGTTGTCTATTGTGGGGAACCGCATATAATTTGACTGCCTTATGTATGAAAAATTCATACCGGCAAAGGGCCAACTGTAGTACTTGAAATGGCTGCCAAAGGGTGCTGCTGTACAACATGCATGGGGCTGCTTGGCCCTGATAATGATGCTCTCTCTCTCACTATGGGATCCATCAGCTTTGCTACTGTGGCTGTTTCATCCTTCTGCAAAACACAACTTACATACACACATCTGAAACGCTTAACTTAAATTAACACATTCATTATTTTTTCATGTTCTACATAGTGTCAAAGCTAGTCTGGTATATATATATATATTTCATACTCTAACTCCAGACAGCTTCTTGGGGCTATCTTAGTAGCACTAATCAAAATATCATGTAATTTATTTGAGGTTCTAATAGTGGTGATGAGGCCAACTGTTGTCATCTAGATCAGTGTTCTACAAATGGTGTGTCACAGTACATTGGTGTGCCACCACAAGGTTTCAGGTGTGCACTTTGTAAGAAATTGTATATTCTTGCATTATAGTCAGACAAAAGCCAATACCTTTTCTTTCAAAATTATAATTTATAATACACATACACACACACACGTGCACAAATACACACAGGTTCTTCATCACTGATAATTTTATTCAACACGTGTAATGTTTTGTTTTCATATGCCTGCATTCTTTGTGGCCACGTATAGTTTCACAACCTCTTTTCAAGAGACAAAATTTAGTGGTGTGCCACAATGTTTCTGTTGAAAATGTGCCACAAGTGAAAAAGTAGCAGAACACCAATCTAGACTGAGGCATGCGGCTACCAATATTTTGCCTCCAACTTCAGGGTTGAAGTGATGTCATCTATATAGGAGGGTAGCCAGTAAGAATGGGGAGAGGCCCTGAAAAGATCATCTTAATCATATGCCAATTCATGTTACCTTCCTTCAGTTTCCCCACACCTCACATCATTTTGACTCACTCCAACCCTGAAGATGGAGGTAATTTCTTTCCAATTCATCATACATAACAATCATTCGATCTCATTTGCAATTTGAAATAAGAGAAGGAAAAGAGGAACATTCATTTATGGATCCATGGCTATTTTGAAACACAGATTACATGAGATAATAAGAGTTAAATGGAAATACCTAGGTAACAGATGCATTAACCACTAGTAGTAATTAAATTCAGTAAGTTCACATAATGCAGAATATCTTCAACAATTTATCGAAACAATTTATTTCATTAGCACACATTTATCTGATACAACTACTAGTGTCATTCTGGGTTTCTTGATAGTCATACTCTAACACATAACTGAATTTCCAGGTCTTTGTTTCCATAAAAATGTTATAACAATTCATGAGTAACATCAGATTCCAGTTCATCAACTATGTTGAATTTCTGTTTATCTACAACATACACAAACATACAAAGTAACAGACAACAGATTAATGACACATAAAGGTAATCAGTCTGAATGTAATAAACTCATATGGAGGAAACATGACCCAAAACACAAATAAGTTTAACAAGCAAATACTGAATGCAATAAAATTAATCATTGCTTTCCAAATTCATGACTGATTAACTTACCGAACGATGTCGCCTGTGACCTTTATATGAAGCCCGATGAGAACTCTGACGAGTTAGTGAAGAATGACGTACCTACAGTTAGGTCAGGTCACGAGATAATGGAGTAAGAAACTCAGCGGTGTAGGTCGTATCAAGAGGATTTTGGTTTGGTGAGAGAGGTGGGAGTTGTTTATAGATATGTTGTGGGAAGGGGTAGAGATAGTTGGACATACAAAGGTTGAAATGACAGCGAGCAGTAGAAAGAAATCAAAGTATTTAAGATATAAGAAGGTTAAAAATGAAAACAAAAAGAATGAACATTTTGGTTGACAACAAGATTAGAAAATTATGGTCAGAAATTAATGAAGATATAATGATATCATATATGGAAACCAAAAATGCACATAACACAGGAGATGTGAATATGATTTCAGAAACAGCAAAATCAGGAGAAAAAATAAATACAGGAGATTGGAAAGGAAAAGTTGAGGAAGATTGGAGGAATTAGAGAGAGAAAAGAAAGAAAAGAGAAAAGCAAAGTAAGACACATCAGAAACTAACACACACACACACACACAACGGAAATGCTTTCTGCCATATTCTCACAACAGCAAATCCATCATATATGTGCAATTATGAACTTTGCTGCACAGTTCAGATATTTATATCCAACTCTTCAAACTACAAAAAGTTCATTCTTCTTCACACCTAGCAATAAATATTTTACCCTTCAGCACTCCCTGGATGGCATGATTGCTTGCAACTCTTCTGAGTGTGCATGCGATCCAAAGGATATATTTAATGTAGATGAGTGTAGGTAATTTCTCACCTTACTCCTAGACAAAACAAAAGCTCTCAAAGGTAGCCGCTGTAATGGGAGCTACAGAAGTAAAGACATAATTACTGTGTTTGTATGTACAAATATGGATAAATCTGAAAATATGTCATTTCTGGCAAATGGACAGTCAGAGGAGCCAAGGCACTTCAAGCACTGTTAAGTCCTTGCCGTGTAGACAGACACAAAAGTAAGGTACAGATGCCTTATATGGTGTCCATGGAGTAATAAACAGGTTTGAAAAAGGAGAATGGCTAATGAATCAAAAAAATTATCTTAAATTGTTTCCAGAATGTTGAATTCTATAAAACACCAGAACATCACCATGAAGATGACATTCACATCTGAAAAGTATGTACAGGATGATGACAATGTTCTTCCGTGTGCAGTTCAGGAAACTGATGACCTCTTTATTGAAGATAGAAATGTAGAAACTGACGATGCAAATGATAAGGAAGATCAGGTAGCAGTATGCAAACCAAAAGCAATGTTTAACAAAGGAGCATAGTGTCTGAACACCTATTTCCAGTTTCTTAATGGTGTTCCTAATGAGTCAGTCAATCACTACAAATGCTTAGGAAATGAATGCTAATACATGAACTTTGTTAGAAAGAAAAGTAAAACAAATAATGCTGGATATGTTCTTTAAGAAAGAAGAACACTTCAGACAAGTCTCTTGATTTTAACCAAGATAGCAGAAGTATACAGAGTATATTTGAAAGCCTGTGCATTTAGAAAGTGTTCATAGCTACTTATTCAGTGCGATGTAATACAGCATACACACGAAAAGACATAAGGCAAAATAATTTTCATCAAAATATTATAGTACATACATACACAAACTTATAGCTGTGTTTTGTTCTTTTTAATAAACAATTCACATGCTAAATTATAGTAATCATACAATTAACAAATCATTATTATTTCACTAGTCTTCTACATAGGATAAAACTAATTTTTAAACATTATGAAACCTACCCTTTTAAATTTTCCTGTTTAAGTTTATATTACTTTGTCCCCTGGAAAACTTCTTATTAGGAACAACTATACATAGGTATTAAACAAAATATTTATTGGTAAACTAAGTTCTTAATGTTACCACAATCATGGCTTTAACAATGTATCCAGCTTAAAATGGTACTTACGCAGCAATGTCAGACAAATAAATAAAACTAATAGTGACAAATTGAGCAGAACTTCTCCCATGTAATGTGGTCTTTCTTTATTACAGTACAACCACGTCGTACACAAGAAAATGGAAAAAAAGTGATTTCTCAACCACTACTGTAAATGAATGCATTATAAAATAAAAATAAAAAGTCAGTTTCATGTGGCTAAAACATGAACTCTATAACCAGCAGAGTACTCTCAATTTCAAAATATAGTATAAAAATGGAAGGAAGCCAAAAATGGTAAACCAGCATTTTCTGATGATTTTTTAATGTTCATATTTTGGAAATAGATCACCATTACAATGAGACTGTTTCTAGAATCTAGGAGGCAAGTAGATCAATAATATTGTGACGTGACCCACGTTACAATATACTGACAATCTCTCCCCAACAAATGTTTCAATAAAGAGTGTCAAATATTTTTTCTTTATGCATTCCTCCATTTTAATAAAGCTTCTACAGAAACAAGACTATTTGCACTAAAATTATTTATGTTATATGAAAGAAAAACTTACCCTTGTCTGTGACTCAGCCAATGGATCACGTTCTCTGTCTCGCGGCTTCCTACTAGTTACAGGGCTATCTAATGGGCAGTGAGGCAACACAGGCAAACGATCAGGATTATCTTTTAACTGCTGTACAATATCTTTTATCAAGTCCACAAATATATCAGACTGGTGTTCTGGCAGAAGGTTCTCAGCCACCTAAAAAAAAAGATAAATCCACATTATTACAGAACTACCATGGTCTGAGGTTACACTTTAAAAATAAAATACTATTCTAGTATCAAAGTATGATAAAACTGCACCATTTTCCATAGATTATTCTGCATTAGATGCAACGTTTAGAAGCTTCTGTCATACAAGAAAATCCAGTTACAGTCATTTTAAATCCAAAGAAAACAAATCATAAAAATGAAAATATGTTGACATTAAAGCTCATTAAAATGCATATAAAATCATGCAAAACACAGTGTCATGTATATTAAAGCAAAGATATTCAGTGGTTTGAGGAAGTAATTAAATTTGATAAATTTTAATAAAATGCATGATTTGTACCATAAATAATAAAATTGGTATGACACAATAAGTCACAATGCCAAGAGATTAAAGACAACCAAACGTTATAGCAAATGAAACGCAATATATATGCAATACATACTTAGCTCAATTCACTGATAGTACATACATACATACATCTTTATTACATTCCATGGATGCATAAGTTATTCAGATGACAATAGGATGTGGAAATATAAATAACAATAAGGACATAACAACAACCACAGGCAAGGCCATTTTGAGGCCTGTTAGTAGGCTTGGAATTAGCCATATTTAAAAATAAAGAAGAAAAAATGGAATGAAAACATTTTTGTAAATTACACAATTAGTTATAAAATAAACTTGACTATATCAACATTTAACTCTATGGGACATTCCAATACAGACTGTAAAAAGAAAAAATGTACATTTACTCAATCCTCAATACTCACACAAGAAACAACAGTGTGAGAAGTGACTTACCAAGTTGGTTGCAATATCCTGTGGAACCACATCTTGTATATGGAAGGTGAATGTCACCGTCCTGTGTTTGCTGGACTCCAGCTGGCATTCCACAACACCCCCACCATTACCCAAAGACAGAACAATCAATTTGGGTCCACGATCACCTACAGTCTTACGTCGTTTTGTTCCTGTTCTTTTAGAACGTTTCTCAATAGGAACTTCTGCAGCAGGAACAGCAGGAGCACTCTGTGTCTCAGAACAAGACTCCAGGTCAGATGACGATATACTGAAAGAAAAGAAGCTTGGAAAGTGGATTCTGTACTGGAATACACATAATATTCTCACATGTTCTTTGCTATATGCATTATGTGCATGTCCACAACACTAGTCATGGGACAGTAAACAGAAAAATAGCAACAAAAAATATCCCAAAATTATAGATATAAAGAAGTTTTATGTTATAACTTTGACAGTTCCTATTGTAATATATATATATTTTTTCCTGACTATTACTAAATCAAAAGTGCATCTTACAACTGATGGCGTCTTAAAATTGATGAAATACGGTTACAAACATTATCTTCATAACTGTTATATTCTCATCAATATTACCACAGAAAATTCTTTAAACTTACAGTTCTGATAAAGTAGTTCTGATACAATGTGAGGGCATTTGATCTGATGAGGTATGAGGAAGGTCACTAATTAATAATCCATTTTGGTATCCTTGTCGAGGGCTTCCGCCTTCATTCAGCTGGAAATGTTACAAAATATTTGTTATAGAGATTCAATATAAAAACACACAAATATAACATAACCAGTAAACACAAACTGTTTGCCTTAAATTCACATTAACAAGAATTACTGCATAAAGAAAACGAGATGGTGTAGCTGTCAGTATAGTGTCAGACTATGAAATGGATGAATGGGGTTTGATCCCTGGGAGCAGCAGAGGATTTTTCTTGTAGCTTCTGCATCCAGACAGGCTCTGCGGCCCACCTTACTCCCCATCTAGTGGATACTGGGGTTCCTTTCACAGGGGTAAAGCACGGTCGGTATGATGCCGACAACTCAACCCCATCTAGTGCTAAGGTCAAGCATCAGTACAAACTACACCTCCTCCCCAAAAAACACCTCCATGGCATGTAATGGGGTAGCTTTACTCTTTTATTGCTAAAATAAAGCTCAAAATCCATATAATATTACCTCTTAATGTGGTGCTTCATACAATTAAAACACATAAGAACTTACTGCCCAGTTATAGGTAAACACTAAAACTGCAGCAATATCTTTTAAAAATTACATTTATTATTAATGTTCTTGAGTTGTTTTTTTTAGAAATAAGAAGAGCTGTAATGCCAATTTTGGCAGAAATAAAATGTTAACAATAAGGAATCACTTAAAATCATTAGCACATTCAAAAGTGACACATACATATATGTACCAAGATCCCATGCATAAGATTCCATTACCAAAGAACCAAAACCATAAAAATCTACTAACTTTCAAAATATTACTTGTGTTGTCCTAAACCCAAGTGACAAATGTTCTTGGCAATCTGCAAGGTGGCACAGGCTAGTAACTGCCTTCACTCCCCAGTATATTCAACAGGTATAAGCCAAGGACATTCTCCATCCTGCAAGTGCAATAATCTTTATGGGAATATTATATATTTTGTCACATATCCATAAAGTGGGACATGTCACAGCATATAACTTGCTTTGGCTAAGGTACTTGGGGTGATATGAAGGATTCTCACAAAGATGTGTATTTAAACTGATAAATATTCTACAATATTTTCCTTTGTCTATTCATTTAAAAATACAGGTATAACCGATTTCCAACTTGGAGGATTTTATAAACAAAATTTTATGGACATTACATTATATATAAATTATAGACCATGATTCAGAATCTCCACATCCCTGAAAACAAAAGTAGTAACAGGACCAAACACTAAACAGTTTACAAATTTGAAAAAAATTATGAAATTGAACTTGCAGAATGGAGAGTTTGAAAACATACTTCTCATATTTCCATGTATGAAAATGCTGCCATTTTCTTTATTCTATTAATACACTCAGAAAAATATATACTAAGTATACTATTCAAAATATAATTTCATAGTATGCTTTGATGGCCAAAATATAATCCTACCACCAAGCTTAAAAAACTGCATTTCAATCCACTAAAAATCCAACACAGAAGAACCAGGACTTTACAATTTATCTATACAACAGCATGTAATATTTGACCAATATAAGAGCATAATGGAGCAGGGCACTTACATTTATTACCCCCAAAAGTGTTTTAAATATTCAATTCAACAATTTCAGTTCAACAGTTATTTAAAAACATTTAATATATGTTCACATTTCCTTCAAACCATTTTTTAAACAATACAAAGGAATGTAACTTTCAGTGTTAACCAAAATCCAGCAGTCAACTGCTAGCCATACAGGGTCTCAGGTAAGATACCATTTAGGATGCTATGAAGTATACTTGTAATCACACATTCTACCTACCAGCTGGTCATTGACCTGCTTAGCCTGTATTGCACAATAATACAATTTAAACCCACTTACTACTGGTCACACTTTAACTCTGGGGTTTAAGGTCATCTAGCATTATGCTCTGTGATACACAACTAGACCTTGGGTAAGCCATGGCACATGGCCAACAAAGGTTAATGCAAGACTCTAGTTTCACTCTATATACTGAAATTTCAATAAAATGAACAGAAATTTACAGAATATTTTTATTTCCCAATCATCCTTTTAAATGATTATACAGCAATTTATTATGATACTCACTGATAACTTCATGTTAATAAACACCGAGTTCCCACGTATAACTATATGCATGGGGAAGGAATAATTTTAAGTCTGCTGGATTTGAGATTTTCATAGTGATGAGTTGAGAGCATGGTCTTTTGGCTTGTTCTACTATGTAATCTTCTGGTTACAAAGCAACATAACACAAATATACTGCCTCTACCTCTCTGGGTTGAATTGAGAAAAGATGGGAAATCCTGGTTAAATATGGGGTCAGAACATGATTAGTCAATTACAGCCATAAAAGAGGGGGGCAAAGATGGAGCCAAGACTGGAAAAAATAGAACAGTCCCCTTTACAGAGCAATCAGACAGGAAAGATGTGTCAAGACAAACAGGACCACAAGAAAGTACTTTGGATCAAGGAAAAATATATGCATTGTTCTTAGAAGCCTCTTCCACTTTTGGGATGTGAATATAAGGTTTCCATGACCTGTTCTGAAGAAACCTTCCACTATATTCAAGTTGTTTGGATGGAGCTCAATCTCTATAACTTATCTGATATTCCTATCCATATGCCTGGATTTGTTAGCTAAGATACTGGTGTCATTTGACAAGATACAAAGGCCTATGTTTAATTCAGTAACAGCCTACTTCTGCAGATGACAGAACTGAATATAGCAATGGTGCTTCCAATTTGCCTATCCTCACTTCAATCAAGGAGATGGAGGTAGATGTTGATATACACCCAGAAGACTATACAGCACAACAACTCAGAAGATCACCATCTTCATCCATTGAAGTCTAATTAATACTAAGTCACACTTGTGGGTAGCTGTAATACCCACAAAGCTACAACCTAACCAGACTGTGAATTGTTCTTATCTTGGTCAAAATTTATTGAAGAAGCTACTATGAAGCAACTGTTGTCCACATAAAAAGAACAAATTGAATACAAAGATGGAATTACTTTTAAAATTACTGTAAATTCTAAATGGTAAGAACTAAATTTAAGTGTCAGATGTGCCCATTACAGGAAAGCACACAAAACATTCCAGTTTGCCACCAATAATATGCAATGAGATAGCTCAAAAGAAATGCATAAAGGAGCATGTAATATTTTTGCAAGAAAACTGTGTATGTTTGATGATAACATACTTCAAATATTGTACTTATTCCAATCTAAGCCACACTTTATGTACTGTTGAATGATGTTCAGTTTTGATCACAGGTATCAACCATTCCATTCAAAATACTAATTTCCTAATAAATGTTATAACAAGTAGGATTTGAGGGTCTCAGAGTGGTGAGCATGAAGATGGCTGTTTTCCAGGTTATAGCGCCATGTAGTCTGGTAGATGTTTACCATCATTTCAGAGGTCACTGCTGCCTCCATAATCAGGGCAATGAGGCAGCAAGGACCTTTGAAATGGTGCTACAATCCAGAAGACAGTCATCTTCTAATGCAACAAGAGTAAAATTTATTAGGTATGAGTTATAATGTATAAAAGTATTCTAAGAGATAAATGTGAGAATGTACCACAAATCTTGAATTAAGTTATCAGCAATTTTGAAACTCAAGTCTGTCAAATGCAATGATCACTATGCATGAAGTAAAGAAGTTAACATAATCCAAAAGAAGAAAAAGAGATTTCCATTGTAGCGGCCACAGTGAACAAGAGAAAAACAAAACAGAAAAAACCTACATATTCACAGACAGCAAATAAACAGGAACTGTCACAAAACAATGCCTTATCACTGTCAAGCATACAAAATATTCCAAGCAAATTCTACTTTCTCAGTGAACAATTCTTAGCAGGATTGAGGTTCTCATTGCAGTAATTATGAAGATGGTTGTCTTATGGGTTCTAACATGTAGCCTGGTGGAAGTTTAGTGACACTTCAGAGGTGTTCATAGCTCTGATTAGGGAGGCAGCAAGGACCTCTGCATTGCTAATAACTTCTACCACACCACATGGTGTTACAACCGGGAAGACAGCCATCTTCTTGCTCACCATCATAAGAACCACAAATCCAGCTTAAAGGTTCATTACTGTGCACACAAGAGCCTGCCACAGGTCCCAATCCTGAACAGACAAATCCAACTCATACCCTCCAACCCAATTTTTCTAAGAAACATTCTAATACTAACCTGTTTATAGTTGTATATATTTTATATTTTAAGATATTGCTCTTCAGTACTTCCATAGCTCAAACTTCTAGTTGAGAATTTCAATGATAAACAAAATATCTGGTAATATCTTCAGTCAGTTTTTCATGGGCTTCATAACACTCACCCATTCTCAACAATGTTTTACTTTGTCATATCACAATGCTCTATCCCTTGTGTAATGATCTCTTGCATACAAATTTGAACAAGTTTTTACAAAATATGTGTGACATTATTTTAGATAAATACTTCCAATAACTGTGAATTTAAATATTTTAAAATGCAGGAATATAGCACTATTTGTTGACGAACAATGGGTATGTATTTTTCTTGCATAAAAATTACCTTGCTAACATGACAGCAAAAACCTACAACAGAGAGAAAATGAAGAGAAACTAATCTAACATAACAAAAAAGCATGAACTAACTTTCAAATGAAAAGGAAGTCTTGCTTTTTCTTCCCATTGCAACTCAATTGTTTTTTTAATTACATGACCTACTTAAGAAAAATCCATCTTCTACCTTTGTAGTGGATCTTGTTGGAGATCCTTGCACACTGGACATTGCTGAAGAATTTCTTCTATTTTGCATGTGACCCTGGGCTGCCATCTCATCAGAAACTGAAGTTGGTAATGGCAAACTTTGCAATATTTGTACTGCTTCTGATGCCTGCACAGGCTCTGCAGTATAACCCAATAATGGGTAAAGTACTGAGGAACCAGAACCAGTTTCCTTATTGGCTGGTGAATCCACCACTGTTGACCCACAGTCCAATGAAGGTGTTGTTTGTGTACCAATTTCTTCTTGGTCCTTTTTCAAACATTCAAGTGCTCTTTGTGTTTCCTCCTTATTGTGAATTTGTTGAGTACAAACATTTACTGTATTTGAGGTTTTCACACTGCTCATTTCATGGTTTATATGGGTTTTTGGGTCTAGTTTACTGCTTATACATTGATTTGCACTATGTAAGCCTTCTTCAAAGAATTCTCCTGCATTGTGAATGGCTTCTTGTTTCAAATGGTGGATTTCACTCACCTTGTTTACATCCTTTGTTTTAGCTCGAGCAGAATACTGTTTCTGTTGTAGCCTTTTCTGTGTATCAAATTGCTGGTCATGTAGTGGTAATTCATTAATTTGAATGTTCAGTAACTGATCATTAATATGACTGATACTTGTAGCATTTGACTGGTAATTCTGTGATCCAGTCACATTTACACATGACTGTGGAGTCTCATAATCTGATGTCTGATCAACTTTATCAGAATATACAACTCCCTGAAACTGGCCATGTTCTGCCTGAAAGTTTTGCACCTGATTAAATTTACAAGTCAGTTCAGCATTTTGTAAAACTGGAGAGGTTTTACTCACACAATACACATCTTTCGTTGGGATCTGTAAATTAAGGTTTAAGAATGGAGTGTTAGGAGCCCCTGGGATAGGTGTTGAAGGTGGGTTTGGTGTAGGAACTGGAGTCATGACAGGGGACAGAGCATAACTCTCACTACTGGCTGGCACAAAATCTGACATTGCATGCTGCTGTAAATGGTACTGCAGCACAGATGAAGTGTTTTGTGTGTAGGTTTCAGGAACAGAAGAAGCATCTCCATTGACTACAAAGGCTGTAGGACTAGGTTGCTGGAGAAGTATGACTGGAGCAGTCTGCTGTAAAGGCAATGGATCTACTTTTGAAAACTGGCAACATGTAAGCACCTGTGCATTAGTATTTTGCAGAAATGAAGCATATGGAATTTTTAAAGTTATTGGTTGTACGAGGTTAGTGTTAGCATTAGCATTAGGTTTGGAAGCTGTACTGCAATCAGATGAAGCTTGATTACAATTTGAATTTTGTGGCATATCCTGTAGAAAACTTACGTTTGATATGTCACTTGAAGTCACCCCTGATCCTAAGATCGGTGCAGTACTGGCACTAGTTGCAGCCATCTGTGATTCATGTTGTGGAATGTCTGGTTGAGGATGATACTGGGCAGTGTTACTGGCCCCCAGTGATTTCGTCTGATGAGGAGACTGGGATAGAATACAAAGATTTTCTGTGAGGAGATTTGACTGCTGGAAATTTTCCATCATAGATTGCTGCTGAGCAAGGTTTGGCAGCTGGTAATTCTGCTGGGAAGCCTGACTGAATGTAACTGAACTCTGAGGTTGTGATGTTGAGTTTGAAATGCTCTGGCTGGAGGTATGGTATACAGGGTCAGCAATGGTTGAAGATGGAACAGGTTGCTGGGAGTACATTAACTGTTTCTTTACAGTATTCACTGATTTCACTACACTATCAGATAACGTTGAGGCTGGTGAAATGTTTGCAACTGATGAACACTGAGAGACCTGTGTTGCAATGAAATTAGTGTCTAAAACAGTGGGTAGTGGGGTGTCCCGTGTCGCTGACACTGAGAACCTGTGGCACAAAACCTGGGATATTTTGCACCTGCAAAGTCTGTTGGGAGATATAGCTACCCACTGCTGGATGAAAACTGGGAATGTTGTGCATAGCAACAGCAGCCATATTTCCCAAAGACTGGGAGCTGGAATAAGATGCTGGGATGGATTGTACTGGTGGTGGCTGCTGGACCACATTCACTTGTACCATATTGCCAATGCCTGCATTGACATTGGAGGAACTAACTACGCAGGATGGGTGATGCAAAGGATCATACATAGGTTGGAGGAGGGGTGCTGGGGCTGACACCGACAGCTCAATGTTGCCAACCTGGAACAATAGTAATCAAGGTGTCAGGATGTCATTACAGTAACATATTTTAAATTACTACCCTTAAGGGCATGCTATTCTTTTCTCACGGTTCATGTGTAATAAACAGACAGTGGAAACAATAATTCAGTACATAAAATATGTTAATCTAAACACAAATTCCAATAACAGATCTCTCATAAATTATGCACATTAATCACCAATGATATTTTTATAGCTGTGGGAAAAATAAAATAAAGACATCAAATTATGTACTCCTGCACATGTAAATCAACATGAACAAAATTTTCAAAACAAGGTCAATTCTCAACTGCTACAGGACAGATATCAAGCAAGCAGTAACTAAATTTTCTTGGATATTGTCATTTCTAATATTCTTAATTCATTACAGCATTTGCATCAATATTCATCAGTATAAATAACATCACAAATTCAATCGGTTAATAAGGAATTTTAACCACCATAAAATTGCAGAACTTTGTGTTTTCTCCAAGCTGGAAGGACTACTTTTTCACAATTTCTTAAAAACATAGGAAGTATTATCATTACCTGCTGGTTAGTCGGCTGTTGTAAAATCACAGGTGGGACACCAGATTGCTGATAGTTAGTTGCAATATACAACTTCTGTGTCTGTTGCTGCTGGGAAGATGTCTGCTCCTGCTGCTGAGCAGCTGGTACAGTGGGCTGCTGAACTACTACATGCATTGCTTGTTGCTGGCATAACGAAGTGAACGGAGTTATATAACTGCCATGAACTATGCCAGTCTGTTGCTGCAAAGCAAAAGATGAATATATACTTTGATATCACAATTTAAACAGTTTATGTTCCTAAACTTTAAAAATATTCACTTTATGACTGATGCTTTTCATGCTTTTCCTGCCCTTTAAAAGGAATGTCAGAATAACATCTTCAAACACTTCACACCTGCTGCCTTTCAAATCTTTACCCACACATCACTCACAATCAACTTAATATAACATCTGAAACTATGCAGTCATGGAACCAAAAGTTCATTAACGAGTCACAGGTATTAAATATTCTACGAACCGTCAATATAATCACATGCGTTTTACAAGTGACAGAGCAAATATGAATCACCTTAATTATCCTTATCAAGATTTGACTAGATTCTGAGATTTGCGATTCTCACAGCAGTGACACGATGACTGTGGTCTTATGGGTTGTGATAATGAGTGCTCTTGTAGACAACCACCTACAAGACTACATGGCATCATAATCAAAAGACCAGAAATGACTCATTAGATGTGGGTACTATAAGACAGACTTTACAATATTTAGGTGTTCTTTCAGATGTTCCTCACATGGGTGGATATTTAAAATGCTTCTTTAGGATTCAGACAAATATCATTCTTTCAATTTTTCTCTAATCAATTATGGACAGTTGTATAAAACCTGTTATTTTGTAGTTGTTTCATTTTTATGTCCTGTTATTACATCAGCATGATTCAGCAAAATCCAGGCATCAAACCAATGCAATTTGGACAAAGTGTTTAAGTAAACAGAAAAATTATTCGCATCCAATCCAACAATTCTGCAAGATAATCCCAAGGAAAAAAAGACAACAAAGAAGAAAAACCAGGTCTTTGTCACCTACTCCAAAGGAAGTTTATATGACAACTATAAAAAGACATGTCTGATTTAACAGAGTAAGTTATTTTCTGATGTCAGCGTAACAAGAAAATTTGAATTTATCACAAAAATAATGTATCACACTTAATTTTTGTCTATTTTATCACTACAAAGATATGAGATTTCTGAACTAAGCAATACATGTTGGGCCAATTCTTTGACAGTGGGGAAAGGAAAAAAAGACAAAAGAGGATGAACTCTACAAGAACCTGTTGTGGTAGCACTTGCTGTGGTGGGACTTGAGGCAGCACTTGTTGCTGTTGCACGTAGAGAGTTTGACCTGTTGCCAGTGCCCTGTCTGGTTTGCTCTGAGACATATAACTGGAGTCTGGAGATATCTCTGAAATTAAACAAACATAAAATCACACAGCATTCCCGCAATATGGTTGGTATGTTAGATGACAAAATGTACAGAAATCAGACATACTGCTTTTTCACAAAATAGAGCCTAGTAAAACTGTAGTTTCATCAGAATGGTTAATCACCCAATTTAAATTTGCATACTGTGCTGCCATGTTAGTTAAATACTCTCTCTCCATTTCAGGTCCACCAAAGTTTGGCAATTCTCTTGCTGACAGTCCCCACAGATGCACAAGTTTACAGCAGTTTAGCACAATATTTAAATCCAGTTATCAATGTATTAAGACAGCAGAGTTGGGAATACCTGTCAGTCAAATACCTAGCTCAGAAATCATACAGAAACAGTCATGGGTAATTGACTATCAGACCAAACACACAAAAAAGGGACTTTTGTAATAAAAATATCACTGTTGTTATGTAAGAAACATAGTGAAGGCACTCTTCTATTATAAGAGATACGGCTCTGTCATAAACTCAAACTAATTGTACAGAATTTGCTGTACAAGTACTTGGAACCACACAGTACTAATTAATAATGTTACACAATTTAAGTATGTTTTTATTGCTGACCACAGCTGTCACTCGTTCCAAAAGTTCATACATCTAGTCCTTACATGTGGGATCAACATACCTACTACAACATCTACCTCGCGTTCCAGATGTTTCCGATCCTCCCTCTCTTTAGTCAAAGTTGAAATACTATTTTTTAACATTTTGGCTACAGCTCTGGCATCATCTTCCATTATGAGTCCAGACTTTGCCTGTAATTATTTATAATGATATTAAATTAGAAGAACAAAAAAATTAATGGGTTACACACTGAAGATGTAGGTAATGCAGTATTCCAAAACACTGGTAACCTACAAGACTAGTGTCACAACCCAAAAGACCAAATTCTACATTTTCACTGTCATGAAAACCTTGAATCTCTTATATCAAGAATATTACCTGATCATCATATATAATCTTATAGTGTCCTTTATAATGTAGGAAAAGACAGGAAAACAACCTGCAGTCCTAGTCCAGTAAATCTTGCATTCAATATAATCATCTTCCAAATAAAGACGAAAAAAAAAAAAAAAAAGATTGGGGAACACAACAGCACAAAATTAATATTTTTCAAACTAATTTTATTGAAATGGCAAAATGGAATGAAAAATAGGAATAAACGTTCATTTATTACATTACTTATATCTCAGCCATAATCAGAACTTAATTCAGCCATGACATATGTTGACACAATACAGTCTGAGCTATGGGCAAAACTGCTAATTGAAGCACAAATAAACATGAAAATAAATTGCAACCAACACTTAACATGCAGTACTACAGAATACTTAAATTTTACAATAACTTGCCATTTCACTAGCCACTTCTTCTGCATTATCTGCCTGAATGTCAAACTCAAACTGAATGGCTTCATTTTCTTTGTGCTTGTTGCTGCGTTTCTTTGGGTCTAATACTCGCAGCCTGAACTCCACCTTTGCTGAAGCAGAAGCTATCGCCTCTTCTCGTGATATAATCTCTAACCTCAATCCCAGATCTTCAGCAAAGAACTCATGAACCAACAAATCCTTTACGCCAGGCCTGTGAACACAAAAAAAATAAGGCTGATGTACATGAAAATTTTACTCCCTCTTTTAGCTCACATTGCCAGCTTTATCCTTTCCAACCTCACCTAAGTTTTCAGAGCAAACATAGAACCAACATATGGACCTCACCTGTCTTCTTTCCTAGGCCTTATACAGTGTTCAATAATATCTTTAATTTCTGGGTTTTCTACTTTCTCATAGCTCATTGGTTTTACTCCCTGAAAAGAAAAAATATTAAAACATTACATACTCTTAAAAACCATGGGTAACATTCATAGTGCATAAAAGGTCTTAGCAGAGTAATGTCATTTTCATTCTATAAGACTCCTTTCAGAAAATAAAACTACAAATATGACCATTTTTTTCTGCAACTATTCCTATGATTAACCATCATAAACAGCAAACATGCTGCTACCAACCTCTAGCTACTGCATGCCACAGACTCAGAAATATCATGGATCAAGTCACGTTCTGTTGGAGCAGAGAGGTTACCGACAACAGAAAATGTGGAAGATCTGCATGTCAATACTTTTATGGGCAGTTTATCAGAACAGAGTGTAGTGCATGAGAATGCTAGTAGCACCAATATCTGGCCTTACTAATCACATTTCTTACTGCATTCTCACACAATATGAGTAATTTTTATATTTAACCACTTTTTCCACCAGACATCAATCAATTATGTCAATTTAGACAAAGAGTAGTGCCAAACAGCTGTTAATCACTTGTTATACTTCCTAGACTGGTAGTGCTGGAAGATCAATTTTTAAAATACACCCTATGCATAATACATAGTGCCTCAAAAATTAAAACCTGAGCATCTCCAAACCAATTTTTTGCCAAAACAAAGGGAAGCTGGGGAAACAGCAAACTCAGACTATCACTAGTGGTGCAACCTGTCACACTGTTCAACCCCATGCAGAATTTTGTATTCACTACTTTTTATACTCTGATTTACCATTTCAGATATTTTGAAACATTTACCTTGGTGTTAAGGGATACAGTGATTAATAAATTAAAAAGGATATAGAAGAAGGCAGTCATACGCTAATTTAAGATACTATCCTGGCATTTTCTGGTGGAAATGAGGAAAAGAACAATAAATCTTAGTTACGATACCAAGTATGAAGACTGAATTTTGAAACCATGCTCTCCTGAATACAGAACAGACCCACTTATGACATCCAGTCCAAATATAGTCTCTTCAAAGCCTTTTGGCTGCAAGGGTGTCTCTCCTAACTTCCTGCTTAAATAGCTTGCTGAAGAAATACTTCCTCCAATTACTGAATTGGATGTAAAACATTCAGTCATTTAAAGTTCTCAAACACTGGCACCCTTGCTTACAGAGAGAACAAAACAGTGAAAAATATGGAAGCTAAGTTTTTATGTAGAACTTACACTGATAACTTTTTTGTAAATCTGGGCAGGTCCTGTGCATTCTGAGTATGGATACTCTGATGTGGCCATCTCCAACATGCACATCCCAAATGCGTACACGTCCACACTCTCATCATAGTGTTCTTCATACATCTCTGGAGCCATAAATTCTGGAGTTCCTAAAAATAATACATCATATACTTTTAAAATTGTATCAAGATATTAATAAGAAACTATCCTATATAGAAGCACTTCTAAGAAACAAAAGTATTTCTAACTGTATACCCATTACATTACACAATAAGACTACCTTGTAAACATTTCTGTAATCAAGACCTCCAAGTACAACAGAAATGCTTAGATCCTGAAAATACACATTACATTAAATTTTCAGAATTGAAACCTCCACATAACATACTCCATACAGAGAACAAAATTTGTTGTTGACTGTGAAGCTAACCATTTCCCTCCATCTGATGTCATGTATATAAATGCATGGAGTTTTATCTTGGCACCAATTATGTATCTATAAGCCAAAATGTTCAGGAACAGAGATAACTTAAATTTCATATTTATTAATTCCTTAAAATCTTACAACATTCTATTCCACAAATTACTAATTAAAATCCCAGCAATGACTCTGATAAGGGCAAGAAGTTTATAACTCACCTATCACAGATTTAGCAAACGACCTGTTTTTAAGAGTTGCAAGACCAAGATCACCAATCTTGACACTGCCTGTTGTTCCCGTAATGAAGATATTGTCACATTTCAGATCACGGTGTATAATTGGTGGGGTTCTTGAATGCAGGAAGCTTAAACCCTTTAGGATTTGTCGACACCACGACTTCAAAACCTTAGGATTGATTTTCTTAAATCTCCTTAGGTAACTGGAAAAGATTTAAGAATGTTATTTTCACATTTCCTTGAGTGTTCAGCATTCTCAGCAGGGCAAAATACAAAATTACAAACATAAACAGAGTCATTTCACCAACAATCAAAATTGGGGTCAATAACATCCACAGCAACACTACTATTTATTATTTTTCAAATCATTAATAAGGTCAAACCGGCGCTACATGCATTGAAACATGGTTATATATGTTTACTCGGAACTCTTTATTGCTTAAATACAATCAAATTAACTATACTAAAAGTATATATTTAGGATCTAAATTAGAACACCTGAGTGAAATATCAGTTTTTGATACAAATGTTCTTGTAGTGACAGGTTAAAAAAATAGGACTCGTAAATCTGTACATACGTTTTGAGTGTTCCAGATGTCATGAGCTCAGTAACAAGAACAATGTACTTCCTTTTTGTCAAAGTCACCTCCCAATAGTCATAGAAGCGGACAATGTTTGGATGTTGTAAGCCTTTTAGCATCTCTGCCTCTTCTCGGAATCTCAATCGTTCAGTCTTATTCAATTTCTTCTCCTACAAAGATGAGACACATCAGAAAACATTACTTCCATTTCATTAATAAATGACTGACTAAACCAATATGGTTCTCTCCTTTGTTTTAGTATATATTAATGACACTGCGCCCACTATAAATATAATCTTCAAACTACTCTCTATGCTGATCATACTAGTATAACAAATTAAAAATTCAACAAAAAATTAACACAATATATATTTTTTCTCTAGTGGTTTCTAGCTAATAAACCCACTTTAAATTTTGAAATTTTAGCCATTCACAAGGTCCAAGATCAAATTTTAGATCCTGTCTCCATGATTACATAGACACCCAACCAAAGTGAAGAAATGTATGTAGGTCTTCATGTAAAATTCCAATTTTTTTGGCCTATTTCAACCAAAATTTAAATGGCTTAGTAATTTTTCATAAAACTCCCCAACATCAAATTACATAGTAATGTGTTCAGTCATTCTCAAGTTGTTACCACATGGAAGGACACACATCAATTTAAGGCATTCAGTTTTCTTTCTTGTATAAAGAAAGCCTGGTTAGGTATGTATATGTAAGCAGTATCCAAAGGACTGTCTAAGAAAATAAACAACTCAACCTTTAAGCATAAATTCATAGTGTGTATATGCAAAACCATTCTAACACACAAAATAAATATACTGGCTGATTCTCATTTTGTATTAGTTTCCAATTAGAGGCATTGTATAATTTTCATGTTTTCTGACAAGGAATAGTTAGGTCCACTATGCTGTCAGGCATGCGTGTGTGCATGCGCATATACAAGCACATTTGCTTGTACATATACACCCTTTAAAATTAAATCCGTGACATAACAGCTCCAGAGAGCCAAAGCCAACACATGCCTAAGCAGAGATGAACGATCATCCAACCAGATATAGGGTGACATGTGGTCAGCACGACGAACCCCAGCCATCGCTAGTTTTCATGACCGTATTACGCTACCCATTGTAGCTCCCCAATTTCCTCACGATGCTGGATTGGCACCAGTCCCATACACTGGTCGAAAGCTCATGAGAAAATTTCTTCTCCCCCGAGACTTGAACCAGCATGCATTCCATATCGCCGGTCTGAAGCATGATGCCTCAGACCATGTGGGACCATATACACCCTTACTGTTCTTATACAGTGAAACCTCTATCCATCGTTCCCGGAACTATCGTTTTCCCGGATGCATCGTCCGTTTTGTTCGGTCCCGAATACATCCCATATAAAATAATGTTACATTTTCCCGCTTCTATCGTTCCTCGAACTATCGTTTTATCGCATCGATCCTTAAAAAATCTTAGTCCCAGCACACAATTTTCCCGCAATGATCGTTTCTGAGAAATTGTAACGAAATTTACGTGATATTTTTAGAATTTAATTCCGAAAGACGCACAATGTTTTTGGAATACACAGTAGCGATAACCTGTTATGTCGCCCAACCAGCACATTCTTTTGGAATGAG